CTTTTCGCAAGAAAGACCAGAATTCCATCACTAGAAAATCTCAGGGGGAAATAGTATTTTTTAAATGAAAAAAAACAAAAAAAATGATGAGCCCCATGTTTTTTTTTACATATGTTTTGAATTATTAACACCTATTATATACTTCTGCACCTCTCTGTCGGTTTCCTTGTGTCTTCTTCTCTTTTCAAAGGTACTGCCTTAAACGAAGGCACTGAAACATTGCCGCTATCCTTGGAATATTGCTAGCCCACCTGGTGAATAACGGAACCACCTCTATCATGAAATCTGCTGACAAGTTCAAAGTTGGTCTCATATACAACTGGAAATGTCACAATTATGGTGTACTTACCGGTGAATTTGAAGTTTTATGGACTTTCAAACACTCTATGAATCATTTAATTACAATTACTGTTCATTCCGCATCTCTTATATTTCACGTCAGCACCTGTACGAAAATGCTACTTACCTTCCACAATTAACGTAATCGTTTATAATTCCCGCGTGAAATTGACAAACGGAATTTTTTTTTCAATTACAGTTTTGATTTGATGCTATATCTCATGAATTATTCAGTTGAAAGCATATCTCGAAAATTACCTATTGCCTTATTTGTACATTTCTTTTTAAATATTTCTCTCAAATTTACCAGTATTCAATCTATTTCTAGATTAACAAATCATATATATTCTATGAGTTCTAATTAGTGTACATTTGTTCATGCCTGTAAAAATGGCTGGTTTCTGTTCCAGAAATAAAATTATTATTATTATTATTATTACTTGCTTGACGCATTTCCATTGGTAGTTTATTCCATATCTGTGCATACCTAATCAAGTAAAACTTTTGCCTGGTGGCTGTTTTACATTGTTCGACAGCTACTGTACCTTTAGTGTGTCTTAGTTTGTAGCCATTGTCATCTGAAAGTCGTGTGCCATTAGTAGAGGTAAAAACTAAGTGGTTTAGAAGCTTATAGTAAAGTGTTAAGTTTAGTCTCAGGCGTCTTAGCCATAGTGTTTCTAGTCCTAGGGTATCACATCTAGTGGAGTAGTTCGCACCATTTTCGGTTTCGGGTAATTTTAACGTGAAGTACCTCTGCACTCCCTCGACTTTCAATTTGTCCTCTATGCGCATACTACTATACATGAATGAACAGTAATCAAATAGAGGACGCACACAAACCTTGTATAACAGAATTCTAGACTCATTTCTGTAGAAGTTCCTGAGTAGAAAGCCGATAAGTCTGCCTGACTTTGACACTTGTTTGGAGATATGTTCAGGAAATGATAAGTTATGTGAATATTTCAGCCCAAGGTCCTGCACAGATTCCAGTCGTAGAAGTGTATGGCCTTGAATTGCCAGGCTAAGTTCTAAATTGTTGCAACCTATGCAGAGCCAGCCACATTTTTCGACATTAAATTGGAGTTGCCAGGTGTCACACCATCTATCCATTTTTTCTAATTCTTGCTGTATGGCGTTTACTGTTATTCCAAGATCTGTGTTCTTGCATTTATACGTCACTTTTAAGTCATCTGCATATAGTATTGGTTTACCTACACTAAAGGATTCACAGATACTGTTTATATATATTATGAATAAGAGTGGGCCTAATACACTTCCCTGGATCACACCACTACTTACTGGTTTAGGACTTGAGATTATTGAGCCAACTTTCGTTGTCTGACTTCGGCCATAGAGGAATGATTTTATCCAGCTCAGGAGAGGGTCACATATCCCTAGTGAGCATGACCTGCTGACTAGCAGATTATGGGGAACTCTGTCGAAGGCTTTTGTTATATCGAAATATAGTACAATTACTAGTTCTCTGTTGTCCCTACTTCGTGTAACTTCGTTGAAAAAGTCTATGTGACAGGTCACACATGATCTCTTTTTGAGAAATCCGTGCTGTGATGGATTGATAAGTTCATGTTCTAGTAAGTTGTCTGACACTTGGTCTTTAACCACTTTCTCCATTATTCGGGATATTACCGGTGTTATATTGATAGGTTTATAGTTGCATACACTGGTTTTGGCCCCTGCTTTGTGCTTAGGTAATATGTATGTGGTTTTCCACACTTCAGGATAAGTTCCAGTTTCCAACGAGAGAGTAAGTATTCTAAGTAACAAGACTACCATTTCCGTGCTACCATTTTTGTATATGACAGATGGTATGTCGTCTGTTCCAGTACTACCATTAGACTTCAAAGTCTTAATCGCTGAGTCTATATTTTGTATATTAAAGTCTATTTCGCCTAATTTGTGGTTACTTTTGTAGGTCATTTGGAAATTTTGGGTCGGGTGCACACTGGCGTCATTGCAAAACCACTCACTTGGGAGTTCACTTATAACCTGGGGATCATTGTATATTATACCCTTATGTTCCTAGCTGCATACAGTATTGTCTGCAATATCCTACAAAGTTCCTGAGTTTTTGAGTTACCCACAAGCGCTTTATTTTCTTCGAGTTGTGACATCATTTTGTGTTTATCTTCAAGCAGTTTAAGAGTTTTATGTATTTGGTTTAACGCATTAAATCCCTTAAAGACATGGTATTTATTTTTAAATTTCTTTAGTTTTGGTCGCGTTTTGCGGCCTATAAATGGAGTTAGTGTGTTTAGAGCAGATTTTAGGGGCGCAATTGTGTCTCTTGCTGAGCCAATTGTTTTGTAGAAAATCTCAAGTGATACTTCTAAGTTATTGTTGATAAAGTATTCTTCCCAGTCAGGACTTCTCAACAAATCTGATGGGAATTCCCAATCGGCATTCTTATAGTCCCTATATTGATAGTGCACCGGGGAATTTCTAGGTGTGTATTTAGTTGTTAGTCGGAAGGGTAGCGTGCAGTACAATATGTTGTGATCACTGTTATCAAGTTTATTTCCTACCTCTATCGAGATGTACTCTATTTCATGACAGAGGATTAAGTCAAGAGTATCTTTGTTTCTTGTAGGGAAGTGTACGCACTGCTTCCATCCGCCTACGTCTATAGCTTGTAGTAGCTCGTCATGGATTCTAGGTCCTGTACAGGTATCCCACTTTACTCTAGGTAAGTTGAAATCGCCACAGACTACTTTGTAGTCAAAGTCCAGCGAAGCTACATGCTCTAGTATTTCTCCAATAGTTATATCAGTCATTTCAGAGCTATTAGGGCTCTGTATATACATCCCACGAGAATTTTATTTTCGCTTGTGTGGATACTTATCCACTTAGATTCAGGGAGTTTGTCAGTAGTTGGGTTATTGAAAGTATTGGAGTTAGTGGATTTAGAGGCATATATTAAGCAGCCGGCTCCTCTTTTGTCAACTCTATAGTTCCTATAGATGTCGTAGTTGTCTATTACTAGCTTTGAGTCAGTTACATCAGTAGTAAGCCAGGTTTCAGTCACCATTAATAGTGTTGGCCGTTCTATGTATGCCAGACAGCGAAGCGATGTTATTTTATTAAGGAGAGATCTAGCATTCAGCAGCATAATCGTTAGTAAACCAGAGTTATTGGAGGAGAGGTTAACATGGTTATTTGTTACTATCCCTACGTTATGTTTGGAGGGGCTCTGAGGTGAGACAGAGTCAGTGTGTGTACTGTTTCCTGGATGAATTGTGCAGAGAGTGGGGCTATTGTTTGCTGCATCCGAAAATAATCCTGCTGCATATTTTGACTTTTAGCATCCATGGGTGGGCATCTGCGTTCATTTACTGGTGATATATAGTTTGCTTGACCTAGGTGCCCTGTGTTAAGATTACCTTGGTAGTTGTACCTCATGGGTCTTCCATAGTCGTATGCATATTGGCTCATATCACATGTGTGGGTGAAGTTATTGAGAGGGTCAAGTGTCGATCTATACTCATTATGTTGCTGAGGTTTAGCATAGATAGTGCGAGAGTTTGGACGAGAATATTCATTAATATGGTGCCTATATGAGTCCCGTTTAGTGCTCCATTTATCCTGAGGATCCATTCTACGTTGCATTCCCAAGTTATCTGCGTTGCTAGGCATATTACTCCTAGTTCGGGAAGGGGTATTCTTACTCACATGATGGATGACGTTTTTGGGAATATGCTTTGTTACCCATGCATTGTCATTTTTTAGACTGACATGTTGCCTATTAGACTTATTGAGAGGGAGGTATGTCGAAGTCTGGAGTGGTACTCTAGGCTTTGTGGTCTTTCTTGAAGTTTCTACTGCGGGACTCTCGGGCTTGCATCCAGATTGAGTGTGTCCTGCCAGTGGTTTCTGGCCAGCCATAGTTTGTGAGTCAATATCAACCTCATGTATGTCAGCAGGTTTTCCAGATGTGCTCTCACGTACTTTAAGATTGCACCCAGTGACACTGCTCTTACGGGGTTTCGAGTCGCTTTTAACTTGCCGATTTTTCTCTCAGCACTATACACGTGACTTGCTGTGCTTCAGTGTCCGTCGACACTTTAGCACTGATGCCAGGTGTATTTCTCGGTGTGTTCAACTTTGTATCGAAGGAGTTCTTGGTTGCTTGCCTTTGGTTAGGTGTTTTATCCGAGACTACTTTAGTAGTCTTGAATTTAGTGGCAGTAGCCAGAAGATCTTCGGTCATCTTAAATCGTTCAGCTATTATGTAGCTGTCGAACCTAAAGAGTATGGGACGTGGATGCTTTAGGTCTTTTTTACTTGGGCGAATGCACTGACAAGGTGCACTCAAGAGATTTGCAGCCTTCAGCAATGAGTGCTGGAAAGACTTTATGGGCTCGCTATCTGGTACATTATACACTATAGCATTTTGTTTCGAAGCCAGCCCTTTAACAACTTCGCTGGATAGAAAGTCAATGGCGTTTTCTAACTCCTTCGCATTTTTTGAGTCAGTAGGCGTCATTCTAGAAGTCATATTAAAAAGCTTTAGGATTGTAGGATCCTGCAGTTCCTTTTTCATAAGTGAGATAGTTTCGGGTATAAATTCTAGTGAACTTAATTTCTTAAATGACTACCCGGCTGAAGTTTACAGTATGAATTCATGAGTCTCTTGCAAATCGACAATGTGGTAATATTGATATTGTGACAGCACAAACAATGGTCTAAATAGGAAAACTGGGTCGTGTTTGTCCAAATCAAGGGTCATATTTTCATTTATATCTAATGCATATATATGTGTATATATTTCTGCATTTATAGTGTATATCAAGTCGGTATCCAGTTTGACGTTAGATAAATGAGACAGTCACTATAAAAATATCAAGTGTACATCGCCCGAGAGAAATCGGACGAAGGTAAACTACTGAATACAAATGAATAGTGGTAAATACAATGCACTGGAAGGCACGTAGTGGACTTAGATGGTCTTTTTCCAAATAGTATTCAGAAACCCATTTCACAAATTATTCACAAATAAGCTAACCAGAAACATGCATAAAGGAAAACGAGAGCAGCTTTAGACTAGTGTGTGCTTTATTAGCGCCCTGGTGGGCAAATAAAGGGGAGGGGTCTAGTAGAGCCATTCATTATTTAACGAAGTTTTGTAGGGAGTTAAGAATTGAAGAGTGATAAGGAAGATATAGTTTGCTTCTGTCTGTATTCCTTGATGACCGAAAGACTGTTGACATATTCTGTCCTGAATTCAAAGCTCTTGGGGCGAGACTAAGGGTAACAGAAGCTGTTGTTAGGTCCCTGACTGTCAAACATGATATCTCAGGCCTACCCAGCGTCACATATATTCTTGAAATCCGTCTTTCTTTTACGCTTAAAAGTTCAGCTGATAATTCATGCGAAATCCTTTTAAAACACACTGTCTTCTCCAAGAGAGTAAGAAGGCTGCTGCTAAGTTGTCTATTTTCCTGGGGACAATTGGCTTAACAAGTCATCTATCTGAGTACCTTCTAACATTAACACCGCTGCGACTTTCTGTTAGTTCACTAATTGCTCTTCTATATTCGTCGTCTGTTTATGTGTCACTTTGTCCACTGTTTTCTAACCGAAATATAATTATTTCGCCATTTGATCCTTTTGTCTTCTAAGCATTTAAAAACATAAGTCACCGGAAGATATCTGATATTTTCACATTACCTAGCCTGCAATTTTCAATTCATAGGCCCATAAAAGAGACACAAGCGATCGCAGAGATCAAAGACCTCTGCCCAAAACTAGAAAACTGAGTGATTTTTAGTCTTCTGCGCTATTATCAGTGGTATGGTTGATTGTGAAAAAGTATTCGTTCCATCCAGGTTAAGTAACGAATGAGGAAGCTATGAAATACTCTGCTTGGTCTGCTCCAGCCACACTAATTAGAAACAACAAATAGATTAGACAGAAACTCTGTGGGCTGAATAAATAGATATCCAAAAGCGCTTTGTTCGGTGTCGACATTTCCTGCTTTAGATGCTGTAAAAATTCAATTCGTCATAATTAAATACCTCTGTGGAGAAATAGAAATGGCGTTGTTACCCAAAACCTGTGGGTAGAATTCATCTAGTTCATCCAGTATTCAATGGAAGGGATGTCAAATTATTGCACATGTACACAGTGCATACTCAACAGTAAGCAAAAGAGGTCAATGTCAATCTCATTTTTCATGTGTAAAATTTTAATAAAAGTCCACATTTACCACCGAATTCCATAAGTGATACAAATCTGAAACCCAAAAATTCCATTTTGGCACACTGAGAATAGGAGACTACAGACTTTTCTAGACATTGAACTTTGCTCTTCATTTCTTTAAGTGCACCATCTCCATGGGCAATTCGCTACCTGCCCTACCGCTTATACTTTGGATACGTGCCAGGAGTGGTAATCCTTGTTTCTTTAACTTCATTTTCTACTAAATTTGTACTTCCATAACTGTATTATTTCATTTTATTGATCTAGTCTGTGGAAAGTGCTAATGGACGTTTTCCCTCTTACAGATGAATGGGGAAATCGATCTGGTCAGAAATTCTAGCCTTCAAAAGAATTTCATGAAATCTGCATCGTGTAGGTCAGCTCTCCAAAATTCAGATCACATTACTTCATCGGATCTTTCCTTGTTCAATGCGGCTGTTTCTCGAATGCAAGATGTTCGACCTGATCTTGACCATCTAACTGATATGGGAATTGCAAGTGGTAGTGGACCAGCTGAAAATCTTGAAAACGCTCGGAAAGATCGTGACTTGTCCCGTAATCCACCGCATAGTTCAAGCATCTCTCTAACTCCAGTTACTTGTCAAGCTTCCACATCGCTGATTGAGCCTAGCGACTCACTTCCTCTTGCGACACAAATGGTTAGCTCTGGTAAAAATAGCTGTGAGGAAATAAATAAAAGAAATAACTTTCTTTCTTTAATGAAATCAAACTCAGATCATCCAGATAAAATTTCATCCGCAGCTGATATCGTTGATTTCACAAAACTTGCTTGTGGTAATCTCGATGGTCAAATGCAGTTTTGTGAAACAGAATATCGAAATAAACTGAGTAAGACATCCAATGTAACTTCACTTGTTGATCATTTGACAGACGCAAATTGTCTGCGTAGCAGTAATTCAAGTACAGATTATCGTTTTATGAGGGCATCGTTAGAACCTAACACTGACTCACTTTCAAGGGTCCATCAGAAAAATGATGCCAAGAATATTTCTACTGAACAAGAACCTCTTGATGTCCCAGGTGAATTCGGAGGGCCAAGTGGTTTATGGAATCACCAAAGTTGTATTGGTATAACTTCATCTGATCATGGCTTCCCATTTGTTGGAGATACTATGACATCTTTGGTGTCTAACACAGAAGCAGATCAAGATGGCACATTAAGTGACAGTTACGCTAACGGAATTAATCAGACTTCTGTCCAGAACAATTGTTCCACCGCTGCAGCTGTTGCATCAAAGCGTCCGATTACAGGAGCTCATCAAGCTACGCGTTTTCCTGCTGTGAATAAGAATGGTATTTGGCCGAATAATTCTATTGGGGTGTCGAACTCGACACTCGGATATTTGGTTTCTAACGCTTGGAGCAGTAGTGGTACCAACGCTTCAGCAAAAATAAGTAATGGTCTTATTACTGATTCTAATCTGTCGGCCATTGATTTTCCTGGGAATGAAGCCAATACGATATCATGGTCTCAGAGCTCAAACATTCACCAAACGATACAGAAACAAAGCATGCAGAATATCCCCAATGTGATAGGAGCTATGGGTTTCACAAATGGAACAACCAACAGTACTTCTTTAAGTCGGACACCTGTTTGTTTGGGTATTGGCTCAATGACGACAACCAGTATGGGTATTACCAGTAATAACAATAAAATTAATGAGACAGGTCTTTCAAACTTATATAGTATGTTTCCTAAGCGCCCTCAACACCGTATGATGGCACATTGGCAACAGCAACAACAACATCACCAGACTTCACAAAACCAAACACCAGTCGGTAAGAGTCTCATGAATATTTCTAGTAATAGTTTGCAATTAAATGGCAATCGTGGTATTACATCAGGGACTAGTTCCGTTATGTCTACAATTCCCAACGGTTGTGGAGATAATGGTTTAAATGGTACTTCTGGAGGTTTCAGTAGTAATTCTATCCTGCAGTCTCTGAATAATACTGTATCTTCTTCATCTACCAATAGTCCTCTGGCAATTTGTTCATCTGGAGATTCTTTTACGAGCACAGTACCGTTCAACACTGCAACCTCTGAAAGTTCACTTGATAATTTCAAATATGGACTAGATCAACAACTAATGGAAGTTATCAAGTCTTTTGAAATCAGCAGCATTGGTAGCAACATGATGACATCAAATGCGAATAATGCGTCAGTAGGGGCAGTCGACGACTTGTCGCTCCCGTCTGGCTTCGGAGAGGTTGAGCAGCAAATATCTACACTGAATTCTGTAAATCAAGTACCTGTTTTGGGTGCCTCTTCGATACACAACTCAGCACCTATGATAAATGGAACAAGTAACCATAGCTCCGGTTTTAATAATCTTTCTGGTTACAATGGAAGTTCTATGCTAAGTTCCGTCGGGATGACGAATCCGTACTCAATGTTTGCCAACATTTTTACACGTGAAGAAGGCTACTCGCGAAAAGTATTTGTTGGAGGACTCCCACCTGATATAGATGAAGGTATGTTGACATATACGTGGATCTCACAATTGATTGAATAATATATAGTCATTTACATGCCCATGATTTTAACTAGTTTCTCTCTAAATGACTGACATTTTTTAATAGGGTTAAGTATACAAAGCAAGGGTATTTACTAATTATTTACAATCCATTTTCGCCCTTTATTCTTGCTATAAGTAATATTCAGTAAAAATGTTATGCTTTCGAGTTTCGGAATGTCTACTAAGAGAGCATTTTCATGAATTACCCACTCACTACTGAGTACTAATTTAGTTTATCGTCAAGCTTAAAGAAATTAAGTTGGTTGATGCTAAAATCACTGCCACTTAGTTTGCACGAAGAGATTTATGGGCCCTGTGTGTCTTTTAGGAGGTATTATTGCTTTTGACAGTAGACTTTTTATTTCAAGACGTCAGACAGTATTTTATTTTGGTACCAATGGATTTACTTCCTATGCATAGATATAAAATGAAATCAGATACTCCGTATTAAAATAATCAAACTACTCACTTTAAGTGGACTTTTGCATCACTACTTGTTTCCTATATGTAAATCTGTGCATCAGATGTGGATATCATTGCTTGAAAGTTTATCGTCGAATTCATATGCCTGGCAATATTCTGTGTAGTTTTTTTTCTTCACGTTCCCCAGTGGAACACAGGGCTTCAAGCTAGTGGCTTGAGGTTTCTGTAGCAGTGTTTATTTTACAGGATGGGGTTGCAAGCCTCATGCCCGACCTTCCCCTTCACCAGCATTATTTCTGGCTTAGCAAGGTAAAGGAGTTCGTCGGCCGGGGATCGAACCCTGGACCGTGTAAATGGTCGGCGAGCGTCCTAACCGATATGCCACCGACGCTTCTTTGTAGTTACTTCAGCGTTAAAGTATAAAAGCGTAAACATAAAAGTTATTATGTGTTTTATTTATTCTCATATTTCACTATATTGCACGTACAAAATCATCCAATCCTACTTCACCTGTTTTAATCTAAAAGGCTGGATAGTGTCAGTCCACACATTATCAGTGTGGCTGAAGACTGGAACATTAAAACTATGTTTAGGGCAATCTAGTTCATTGATGTTTAAGGGTAAACCTTGGTCATAACTGAGGTTTTCTTGGATGACTCATTTCTCCACACCTATTTAGTTAAAATTCATAGCTTTTTTCAAGTAAAGGATTCTGTACAGATGTTTAAACTTGACGACCATTTAGTAGCTCCATGTTCTCTGCTGGTAAAGACTAATTGATTAATGCATGGCTGAATTCCACAACTTAATTTTTGCTTTTGTTTGTTCAATAGTGTAACTCCGTCTTCAATGAAGTTCTCATTCTTTTGTCTTCATGTGTTTTTCATATACTGTGGATGTAAATACCACAACAATGATAAATCTCACAGAAATGTCCCCTTCGTCATTCTACTAGATCACTTCCCGACTGCATATTGTTATTTTAAAGCTGTATTTGACTGTATTATCTGAATAATAATATTCACTTTCTGTCACTCCAAAATTTGTTATGGGCTTGAAACAGTAAATATCGAAGCTTTCGAGAATGAAAACTTATGTGGAATGTATTCATAAGTTGCGAATATTTAAGAAATGAGGTAATTTATAATCAAGGAAAAACACATTGAGCGAAGAAGTATACTCCTTTTCAATTAGTTCCTCATTATCGGCTGTACACTAGTATATAGTTTTTTGCAGTAAAATCGTACAGGTCTTATGGTGATTTTATTCCATAAGAATTACCAGTTCTAGGTATAGGGGGATAAAAATAAGAGATTAAAAGTCATCAAAACACTTAAATAGTAGATTTCAGCAACAAGATATCTAAATTTTGAAGGAGGGGGGGATTAATTACGGAATTCATTTATGATCGAAATTTATCAATAAATCCAAAGAATAATCATTTCCATTCATTTAATATCACGGTAAGTGATAAGAATATTAGGTGAGCCGTGCCTGGGGACCGGCCGAAAAGATGTATTCTGTTTGACATCCAATTTCAATGTGAGAATGCTATCACAAACCTGGTGGAAGTTTATCAACTTGGGGTGATCTCAATAAATTTATCCTGCAACATTAACCAAGTCTGCCATGTGACCACGGAACCAAACCACCTGAACCCATAATAGTTCACTTCTAATCTATCACTTAATATATTGTGTGTCAATATAACAATAGACTGGTTTAGAACATCTGTGGAATGTTGCTACTAGGTTATTCATAAAAGTTACTCAACCAAGAAGTCAATGGATGAATGGATAAAGTTTTGCCCTTCACCAGCTGATCGACGTACGTTAGTTACAAACTTCAGTTTATCTTGAAAATTTATTTCTTCTTATCACTCACTACTAGTTCTTCTAATGTGGAAATGTAAACCAAAGCAGTAAGTTCATAGATTTCGTACCTGATACCGAATAGTTGGGAAGTCCCAGTGACGTAGCTAGAAATAGTTTACACTCTGTAGCTTCACAATTCTTAAATCTTCATCGCTTTTTGTCAAATTATTCACTGGAATCTAGGTTTTTCACGCTAGTACTGCAACGTTCCTTCACTCGTGTTGTGTAGGATTTCTCGATGTGTAGTAACTTGAATTTTTGTGTAAAGTTCTGCGTTAATTTTTCTAGGTGTCTGGGTTTCTTTTCAAAATTCTTACCATTCGTTAGGGTTAATGTAGAAACAGGTGTTAATGATCACTTGAGGCCATATGAAGAATGTTAAAATCAAAAATATCTATGGAAATGAATTAATCATAAGTAGTGAATAGTGTTTTGTATGGAGAAAATGTCCTTCACCGATAGTCTTCTAATAAGTTCTCTAGTTACTTAGCTTACTTCAGTTAAGCTTTATTACAAGTATTTCTGACTATATTTTTCCCACTCATTGTGACATAATTGATAACTGGACTAAAGTCGGAGTATATTTTACTTTATTAGAGGAGATAACTACTGCTTTCCGCCGATTCGGACCTTTAATCGTTGACTGGCCTCATAAAACTGAAAGTAAAGCATATTTTCCACCAAAAGGTAAGTAAATTGTCATGTTACACTTGTTTCCCGTTTTTTTAATACTAATGCGTTCTGTAAATATTCATCTTCGCTTGCGCACATAAGTAGATGGAGTAGCAATTACATGAGAAAATGACAAACTTAAATCATAAGCAGGCATTTTCTAAACCAAACTTTGAGATAAGATATTAAGAGGTGTGTGGTGAAAGCCACCTTGGAAGTACATTATGAATGCATAAGGCTGCATGACTGTCTCATGTTTTAGAGACAAGGCAAACAATAGTTGCTAGTAGCTTTATATATATATATATATATATATATATATATATATATATATATATATATACGGGCTGATTCGATTACTACAGAAATAAAAAGTGGTTGTCACCAATAGTTAAGGTACTTTTGTTTTGTTCAATTGGCATGAAAAGTTCATAATTTATTATAGGATAAAAATTGCGAAAGGATTTGCATTTGTAGATCTTACTTGAATCACACTTTTCTACAGGAGTCTAGCATGATGTCTTAAACGTTTATTATTATTTTTATATTTTGCAAAAGAAGATCTCATGAAATTATTTTAGTTGTTCCTTTATGGGAGCAAAAACATCAATAATGCCTCAGTTAGTTGTGATTATTAAATGTAATACTTAAAGTACTGTTAACTCATCAATAAGACTGAATGAGCGTTTTTTCTACAAAAATGTTAAGTATTTTATCTACTGCGTATTTATCAATGTACTTTTGGTTGTCATGGTCATTATCTCATTGAATAATATTGATTCAGTGAAAACTGCAAAGTTCCCTTACAGAGCATTATTATCATTATTTTTTACAAAACCTGTCATCTAGGATACTGTTTCCTGTTGTTTCAAGATGAAAGATCTGTTCAAAGTCTTATTAGTGCTTGTATTGTGGATGAAGGAAAATTTTATTGGTGTGTATCCTCGCCCACTATGAAAGATAAGCCTGTAAGTTTTGATAAATTTATATGCTAAATTTTTAACAGTTTCTAAACTTGTTCTGTTTCTTTTCATTGCATTGAGACAGTATATCCCTGTACCTATATATATATATATATATATACGCGCGACGTGACTGTAAGGTACATGTCTGAACTATTTTATTCCGCTACACATCATCGTGACTAATTCAGTTTATTATTAACGTAATAGTTATATTTTCCAGTGTATGCCTTATCTTTCTGAACCATTTATTAGAACCAAAATTCTAGGGTGTACGTTTGAAAATCAGGATTCATTTTTAAGTTCGTTACAATCCCAAATGTTCATTATCTCGCTCAACTGCTGTTGTGTAAATGAACTAAATTGTCTTAGTCCATTCGTTATCATATTTTGTACACACCATAGAATTCTCATACTTTTAAGTTATACACACTGTTGATATATCGTGTTGCGTACTAACACTCTTCCTTGATGTTGACTGCCGGATATAAAAGACTTACATGGCATTTGCCAACTTACGTCATCTTTGATGTAGACGCGATATCCGGCTATCGATCAAAGGACGTGTGTACTATACATCAGTTCGTTTTGTCCCGCTTTATGGTTGTGTGTTAAACGTGACCATTGAAAGTGGAAGACCTGAAGAGGTTAGCTGTATTTAACCACAGAATTTACGTTCTATCTTTCATGTCTAGTGGTATAATATGATGAGTAATATTAAGGTTAGGCGTAGTGTTAGTAAAGAGAGTGGGTCGGTCGATGAGGTTGTAAAGGTGAATCGACTGAGATGGCTAGCACACGTGTTGCACATGCTGAAGCATCGCCTTCCTCAACTGGCAGTTTTAACTAACATAGGATTTGGTTAGAAAAGAGTTAGGAGTAGTCGAACGAAAATTTCGAATCAGTCCATGAAGTCTTTGACAGTTGGTTTGAGACACATAGGGGGGGTTGCATACTGTCAGGTTAGGGCCATCGAGATGCTAAGAACCAATCGGCGGTATGACTGCAAACTGTTCTCATTGGCACAGATGCATTCACTCTTTGTCATCTCTCCTATCCGCTAAACTGTTATGTTTTTTCAATGTTACTATTCTTTCACCGTCACACCTCTGTTTATTATAGGCCTTTTGAATCTCTTTTTCTCTCCTATCTTTGTCTATCATTATGTGTTACACAAAGTGTGGCAACACGGACTTCCGCACTTTTGTGCTAAGTTCTATGTTGAAACTCAGTCAGTCAGTGTTGAATGCTTTGATCAGTTATTATTATTTATTATTATTCCCTTGGGTTCCGAGTGAAACATAGGGCTTCAACAAACACATCTCCACTTTCTTCTGTATTCTACCATCCTCTTCAAATGGACCCCCGTTCACTCATAATCTCTCATCTCTTCCTCGCACCATCTCCTCCATGTCACCCTCGCACCGACGACACACATGGCTTCCCATTTGGATTCCACTCGAGTGATGACCTGCATTGCACCCGATGTCATTCGGCGTCCTCAATGTATGCTCGATGCATCTCCATTTTCTCCTACATATTTGTTGAGCGATCGGCTCTCGCCTGTTGGTTTGTTCCCAACCAGAGTTTCTTGTTACTAATTCTTTCTGGCTGGCCGACTGACCATTTGATCTTCAGTATGTAGCCAGTGGAGGTGGCAGCTGTTGACAAAAGTCTGCAACTGACTTTTGGAAATCCTTTTCGCGACTCACACGCAGTGCAAGTTTCTGACGCGTATAGAAGCACTGACCGACTTGACATATGTGTTGAAAATGCGAATCTTGTTTTCTTATGTTGAGTGTAGAAGATTTCCAAACTAGTTTCAGGTTGATGAAGGCCTCTCATGCCTTTCCAATTCTGACTTCGACATCTTCGTCCGTTCCACCTGTAGTTGAAACGATGCTTCCCAGATAAGTAAAGCAAGCAACCTCTGTTAAATCTCTCCCATTGATGGTGATTGGTGCTGATTGTTGTTGTTGGTGGTGGTGGTGGTAGTGGTTGGTTTTCTTCATCACCTCCGTTTTCTCTATGTTCACTTGGAGTCCTGTCTTCGCTGCTTCTTCGGCCAGTTTGTTGGTTTTCGCCTGTAAGTCTTCGAGTTTGTGTGACATTAAACATAAATCATCCACACGCTAAGTCCAGATCTTCTAGAGTTTTCTTATCGGTGGTCCAGCGTAATCCTGTCTTCTCGCTCCCAATGCACAGTCTGACGCATAATCGAATCAGTCCACCACAATTAGGAATATCATCGATGATGATAGACAGCCAGCTTGTCTTACTCCTGTATGCACCTCGAACGCTTTACTGAGTATCCCATTGTGGATCACCCGGCACGTGGCATTGTTTGATCATGTAACCATTTACTTGACAATGTCTTCATTGTGAAGAAGTTGCTACCAATTTTAAACATTAAGATACAAGCGTACATTGTTGTTGTTGTTTGAATGTAAATAAAATGCCATGTCCACTTATTTCTTACAAAAGAATCATTTTTCTATACAACAGATAAGCAATAATTCTTTCTGAAGATTACGTCACAAATAGTCATTGATTCTATGTGGTTCTCTGAAATAGTTATCTAAACCAATCCGAATCACGTAAAACTCTTCATCTACTCAGTTGTTAGACCCCTTTTTTTGTATTTTCGATTGTGTTGTGGTGGAAGTGCTTTGAATTTTCTTTAGCGGTTAGATTGCTTCTCTGAGGTAGGGTTATTAGCCAAAGACCCAACGTTCAAGCTTAGGACCGATGACTAAATTAGATGAGATGGTGTTCAAATAAAGGATCTTATTATGTTAACAACAGGAAGTTATTCTTTTGTATTTCTTTGAATTAACGAAACTTTAGTATTTTTATTTTTAATGAAATCCCATTGTATTTTGTTCAGTCCAGTTCAACAGTATTGTAATTTTTTTCATATTTAATAGGAATAAATCTTCCAATGTTTATCTTTGTTTCTCTTGATTGATTTATCAGGTTCAAATTCGACCATGGAATTTAGCAGACTCTGATTTTGTGATGGATGGTTCACAACCATTGGATCCGCGTAAGACAATATTTGTTGGAGGTGTTCCACGGCCTCTTAGAGCTAGTAAGTTAATTATTTGTGCTCATTCACATGCTTTCTTTTTGTGAGTGACCACACATATTGCTTATCACCGTGTGTTTAGCTTGTCGATGAATTTCACTGTACTGTTACGCGTGTCTTACAACAGATAACGTAGAATATACCTATGATTCATATAGCATTGTATTGACTCAGTAAAGCTTATCTATCTAACACATACATTTTGTATGCGCGAGAGCTTGTAAAATTAAAAGAAAAACAAAAATGGCCAAGAATGAAATCGTGAATTTGTGTTATTCTGAGATGTTTATAGGCATTTCCATTTCCCCTTCATCCATCATTAATTTCTACTTAAAGTGGAGTTGTCCTCTGTATGCATAGTCAACCCTAACCATACACAAATCTTTACATACTTGTCGAGTTGCTTCATCCTCTAGTCTTTCGTTTCACCAACTAAACCATCATATTATTATTTCTTTTTAAGAAAAAAGCCTTAAACTCTTTTAAGTAGGCGATTTTTATATTCAATCAGTTGGAAAGATTAACATTGTCATTATCTTCTATTGAGTTTCTTCATGATGTGGGTAGGTATCAGTGTATTTGACAAAGTAATTGATGATTGCCTAACCTAGCATTAGTTTATATCCATTGATCACTGGATCGCTTTGTGTTTTTGGTGTAAAACTAAAATATTCGCTAAATAGTGTGTATGCTTTCTTCATATTTTAACTTACTTTTTTTTCTGACTTGCTTGCCTTCTATATACAAATTTAAACAATGCATTGGATGTATTTTTTTTATTGTTGCTTTTTATTCAAATCGGTCACATTTTTCACACATTTAACTACATAAAATTTAAAATTAAAAAAAATCAAATTATTAAAGAGTAGATTGATGTAGAAAAGTGCAACTCAAAGCACAAGTATAAACTTATTCACTAGGCTTTGTTTTAGGTCATGCGTAATTATTAATGATGACCTGTGCTATCGGTATCATTCTATTAGAGCAGCTGTGTGGAAACCTTGTTTTCTACTTCAGTACTGTATATTTGGCTATTGTAAAAGTTCGCTTACAGTGGATCAAGTTCACTTCAAAAGTAATACATGTAACTGTAATCCTAGTGGTTGTTTCTTCACTGTCAGTCAGTCGCTATCATACGAACAATAAGTTACAATAGATTCTTTTTAAAAAGGTGACAAATGTAAGCTGTACAACTTTTTTTGTCAGTGAAACAGTACCATGTAGTTGATAAATTTGTATTTGGGATATTTATTATTAAATCAAAAACTTGGTATACTATAGACACCAACACATGTGTCACAAAATATCTTATAGTTTGTGCTGCAAGAGCTGGGATACTGACCAGACAGCTAGACCGAAGCAGGTAGTTGTCTTAGGAGGTCACCCCCAGAGTCTTTGACTTGAAGTCTGATTCACAAGGCAGTAGAACAGAGTCATGACCTGCTCTACCGCCATGTTTTCCAATGGCCAAAACAGTTTTTTACTCCATTTCGATTCGTTCGGATTCTTGAGCCCATGTACATCATAAATTTAGAACCGGGGTTTTCCAGCTCCGTTAGATAAAGCAACATGTCCACCAGTTCGGTTGTAAGCGCGAGACGCTCGGATTCGTTCCCTCTGTTTTTAATGAGGGACAACTGCTACCTTGTCGTGGTGGTCGGGCTTGAATACCGCAGTGACCCAACAAGCTAAACTGGCTGGGACTCATGTTCCTGCAGGTCCTACTATGTCAGGAAGGTTGTTTGGATAGCGGTTAAACTAAAAGCAGTTACCATGGGATACATGGGTTCCAGAATCTAATCGGATCAAATGGCGTATGAACCTATATTGGTCACCGGCAACCATGGGAACGTAGGTCCTGACGCTGCTCCGCTGCCTTGCGGATTAGACTCCAAGTCAAAGGCTTGGGGAGTGGTCCCTTAAGAAAACCACCTGCTTCGGTCTGGGCTCCTCCGTTGTATCTCAGCCCTCACACAAGTGTGCGCATCTTCTTGGTGCCATATTGTACCAAGTTTTTCTGCGTTTAAGGCAGTGAATAAAACTTACCTAACAGGGGTTGTGAACGCGTAGCTGAATGAAAGCGTTTCGAGAGGAAGACTGAAGTTTATCCAGTCTTGGACATGCCAGGTTTTTTACGGGGCGAAACAGGACGTACTGGACAATGTTTCTTTCTTGTTTGGGATTCTTTAGTAGTATGCATTAACAACCACACCAGGGATTTAAACCCAGGATCCTCATATCACATGATGACCTCGTTGACCATTCAGCCTCTGAGGCACCTTTTTCCTTTACACATGATTTGTTTTGTTCATTCTTTTTGCGTACATACAGAATATACATAATTCTTTCGAGGAATCTGAGTATTTAGTATGAACATGGTTTAATACAGCCTTTATTTTGGCTGGAAGACTTATTGCATCGGTAGTCCGGCAGTGCAACGCTCGCCAGTTGGGCATGTAGCCCCGATCGATGCGCTTACCTCATTCAGCCGGTAGTGTGTAGCCTGTAAAGAGAGAAGGTTGAGCGTGAAGCTAACAACCCCACCCCGTAAAAATAAAACCACTGCTACCGGAAATTCAAAGCTCTAGCTTGTTTGAAGCCCTATGTTCCACTTGGAGTGTAAAAGGAATAAAATCAATAATATAAAAATAGAAGATTTATCAAGGTGTTTACCAAAGAATTTAGATAGTGACAATACTAGAACACTGTGTATTTACAAAAGCTGTAAGTAATAGGTTTCCGTCTAAATGGCAATGTGGTTGCTTCGTAATCTGACGGCCATAAGTTCTATGTCTTTTTTAACCTTAAGTTGAAACTAGGACAAAACACCTCTTCAGTGTTCTGATGATTCTTGAAGTCAGGTTAATGGTTGAAGAACTCAACTGTAAACTTAGTCGAAATTATCTGTTTATCAACACAGATAGTATTGTATAATAAAACTTTAAGAGTTAATATTTTCTAAAAAGCAGAGTGTTATCTGTGAATATTTTATTCACTGGGAATTTTTCAGCTTGGTGTACATAGCTCTAGGTTTACTTATGATTTTTTTTGGCTATAATTTCATGAGTTCTTGAAAACTGAATATTCTAAGTCATTGACCTATATTTATGAATTAGGAATTAAGGCAACAAAGAGAAAAAGAGTATTCGCTTCATTTTTCTTCCTTCTCTTTTTTCTTCTTTGGCTTCATTTTACATATATACATACGAAAAATCGATTCTCCATCTCTATTCACTTGTGTGTGTGTGTGTACCAACTTTTTATAGTTTCATTTGCCAACTGATTTGTTGGCTCTGTCTCTCTCTATCTCACACACACACACACATATCCACTCTCATAAACTAACTACATAGGCAAGTAAAAAGTTTCTTCCTTTCACTCATTGGTTTTTCTTTCTCCCTTGTTTTCAAATTTTCCTCCCCATTTTGTTGGCATGACCTGAAGATGACCTCACTTGTAGACAAGAACGTTTATTACTGCTTTTCTCTCTCTCTCTCGCTTCTCTTTTTCATTTTTTGCTATCCTAGTTATAATAATATGCTGTCTTTTCAGTATATGAACAGTATGAATTAGTCACCGTTATTTTTTTCTTGTTGTTGTTGTTGTGCAGTGATTATACATTTTGTTCGAATTAAGTGTGAAAAATCATATAATGTGTTAGGTGTGTGTATTTTAACATAAACGTAAATGATTGTTTTTATGGTAGGTGAATTGGATGATGATGATTAGACTGCTTTGTGTATAGGCATCTATTTATTTTTCTAAAGGATTTCAGAGTTCTAGTGTATGATAAAAGTAAATTATCTGACTGTGATTGACTAGTTTCAACATAGAACTTTGCATAAAATTATAGTAGTTCGAGTCGCCACACTCCGTGTAAAAAAGTGATTCGAAATAACGGTAATAAGCAGAAATGTGAGCGATAAAGAATAATAATAATAATAATAAGGAAAAATAATAGGGTTTTATTGGATATGGCAAGTCACAAAGAGTGAATGCATCTTCGCCACACTATTGAAAACGATTTTGAGCAATATCACTAATTGTCTCCATCCATTGGTGCTTAGAATTCTTAGGATTCTAAACAGGTAGTCTTCACCTCGCTAAATAACGGTGATACAGCGATTACGACTCTCGCCGACCATGCACATGGTCCGGGATTCGATCCCCTGCCGACGCACACCCGATATTGATGGTCGGCCTGAAAAATTTGGGCTACCGATATCACATGCTGAAAATTCCATACTTGTACCGAAAATTCGGTATGGAATCAAGCTATAATTAAAACAAAAGAATCTAATTGTTAAAGATTTCATGGACTGATGTCATATTTTGTTTTGACTACTACTACTGTAATAACAGAAGACAAGGGTCAGGCAACAGATCGTTTATTAAGGAAAATCAACACATATTTATAGATTTTAATGTACATTATTGTAGATTATTGTTAGTAGAAAATACAGTCTTTTGATTGGTTGTTTCTCACTGCAAAGTTAATCTTTCATCTCTTTGTGGCTGTTTCTTGAATGTCAGATCATCATCTATATGCTAACTGTATCCGGCTACGCAAAGTCTTTGTTCTCATTTTCCTCACGACCAACCAATATTAGGGACATAAACATTGACGTAAATTACTGTCTACCAACTTTGGCTAGCAGCCAGCTCTCACAACACTACTAGCTCTTTTCCAACCTGATCCTATATCAGCTAACATTGCACTACTATGACGAAGGCGATGGCTAGGCATGCGTAACACATGAATTGTTTTCTATTTTCCGCTAACTTTAAAAGTATAGAAATTGATTAAAGTGACTCAAGGGTGTTGGTTATTCAGTAAATTGTAACTTATCATGCGTCATCAGAAGTCAACGGCAGTAGTAGTGGTAGTTCGTCATGTTTGAACTCTAAGAGTCTACAGGTGATCTTAGTTAATGTTTTAATTTTAATTTCATTGCCACATAATTGTTGAACAGTTTAACTGAATGTATTTTTTATTTCAAGATACATTATTTTTCTAGTTTCTAGATAATTAAGTACCTCAGGATACAGGTAGCATCTTCCCAGTACGTCAATTAGTTTGTATTCATGTTTATATTATTTCGGCATGTTTACAATACCTAAAGATAAGGAACCACAATGATGTTGTAAGATCTTGCTTAAGCACTCATCACTTGAAGCTGAAATTCATTTGAAGTATTGGTTTTGTAGGGATTTTGTTTAATTGCATGGAGGATTTCATCATGAGCTGACATCGGTTAGAGAACCACTGGAAAAACCTGGGAGTACTGGACAGCTGTTTCGTCCTGGTTTCGGGACTCTTCAGCAGTACGCGCCCACCGGGGTTCGAACCCAGGACCTTCTGGTTACAAGGCGAGCTCGTAGACCATTGAGCCACTGGGACCCGAACCAATGGCCAACTAGGACGAAACAGCTGTCCAGTACTCCCAGGTTTTTCCAGTGGTTCTCTAACTGATGTCAGCTCATGATGAAATCCTCCATGCAATCAAACAAAATCCCTACAAAACCAATACTTGAAAATTAATCTGATGCTCACTAGCAACTGGCCCTATTCAGGCAGTTAACCTGCGGTTCTAGTGGGAAGCCGTAACCAGTAGGGTACAGCAGGTTGAAGATGAGGCAGTAACTCATCGAAGAAGACATTACGAAATGGTCACGCTATGTCATGAATTGGCAGAAGCTAGAATTCAAGGACCATTGGATCGGGTCCCAGTGGCTGGATGGTCTACGAGCTAGCTCTCCTTGTAACCAGAAGGTCCTGGGTTCGAACCCCGTTGGGTGCGTACTGCTGAAGGGTCCCAAAACTAGGACGAAATTCATTTGACTCGCACGTATAATTAATTCTTTCAGCTAATAGAGACGCTAGTTTAAATATGGCTAGTTGTCAGTCATCTAAGAACTCTAGTCATATCTTTTTAAGTATGTTAAGAACTCAGTGATATATATATATATATATATATATGCGACAACTTGAACCTGGATAGCTTTGCTATTAGTTTCAAGACTGTCACGTCTGTTTTCAAAAAATAGCTGTGCAAAAAAAGCACAGTGTTATCTGACAGGCTGACTTTTAACTTGAAAGTTTGCACAGAAGTTCAACAGTTCAAGTTGCTACACCACATAATAGTTTGCAAAGACGGAGAAGAAGAGAATAATTAGAACTGTAATATGCAAAAATGTATGATAGTGTAATAAATAACAGAAGGCGGCAAGACACGGAAGCCAAAGAATATTTTTCATCGATCAAACCGCTGTTTATATATGTACAGTTTATATTCTTTAACCAATCACTGAGCGTGTGATTTCGGTTTACATCAAACGACATGAAATAGAATGTTCAAATATACATAGTACTCTGTTGCCAATGCAGTATTGAACTGTGTGAATAACATTCCGACTCCAACATCAAATAGAATGTTCAAATAGATATATCGTATTCTGTTGCTAATGCCGAATTGAACCGTGGAGAAATTTGAGAATAATATTCCATTGGCACACATTGTTTGTATCACACCACCACCACATTAGAAAGAATAATTACATGGAGATAGGTGAGGACTTAATAGGATGTATCTGCACCATCTGAAAACGATTTTGAGCCTTATCACCAACATTTTCAAGCCCACTGGTTTTTATCATGTTATAGATGATAACCACGAAGTCTACACAGTGTTGTCTGGATAAAACTGATTAATTCATCTGAGTATTAGTCTGTTTTTAAATCATAGTATACAGTAGGCCCTAATTTGAGCAATTATTGATTCACATCATAATAATTAACGCACTACCATATACGTTGATGAATAGTACAAATACAAATACACATGGGTTTCAAAACTATTGTATTACCCTGAAGTGTATACTGTCAAAAGTAGTAAGATATCGTATATCATTAAGTGAGTTGTATGTATTACTCATTATCATAAAAGATTTTGTATTTCCCAGTGAATGATATTGTTGTTTTTACTGACGTTTCGCTATTTAATGCTGCTGCTAATAGCTTTATCAAAGTAATATTAAACCAGAATTTACAAAGTCCACTCAGCTTATATAGAACAACTTAATCATCTTCCCTCAGCATGGGGGCATTTTTGCGTTGTCAAGTTGGCCAATTGGTAAAGATAACAAGACCAAGTGTAGATTGTTGGATTTGATAAGCATATGACATTATAAAAACAGCATTTGTTTACATAAAGAAATTGCTTATCAAATTCGTGTTGATTTTGTCATTTCATGGGGAAGCACCCCTTCTCCATCGATTCCTATTCAGACAATTTGGATTCCATTTAATATGAAATGCTTCTGATATTAGACTTTCTTTGTGATTTCTGAAATTTTTTTCTGATTATTTCAATATTGTCAAAATCAATATCGTGACCTGATTCTATAGCGTGTAGACGACCTATGGCTGACGATTTTTCAAACATTTCTGTTTCAGTTGGGTTTCTCTGTGGTCGAACAGATGCGGCTCTACGGTGTTCATTTCTTCTGATTTTGATTTCTCGCGATGATTGCCCGATGTATATCGCATCACGTTCCAAGCATTTTATTATGTAGACACAATTAGAGACAAGGTTGCTTTGTAGCGTGCCTGATGTTTTGAAGAAAACTCTGGTGTCGTACTTATTGAATACTCTTCTGATACCGTCTGATTTGACAACTGTTGAGGCCCATGTTTTCGCAATAGGTTTTCGGCCATATTTAACGTTGATGTTGATTGTGTTGATGAAGTTCTTTGATATTTCTTCGTTTTCGTTCTCATCCGTTATCAACGAGTGTGCTCGACTAAGAAGACTTGAAACGTGTGATACCTTCGCGCTGATGAGGTGTGTGACCCGAAGTCTAAATATTTGTTGGAGTGGGTTTTCATCCTGAATACAGATATATTAAAACATCCGTTTCCCCTCCTTTTAACTAGCCAGGCGATCTAGAAATGGTAGTTCACCGACATCTGATTCTACTTCTGAAGAAAACTGGGATGCTGGGATATAGACTGTTCAGTTGCTTCAAGAATGAATTGTCTAGATCTCGTTTTAGCACAACAAAAAGTATCATCAACGTATCTTAACAGTATTTTAGGCTTGAGTATGCTTGAAAAGATGTTATCTTCAAATCTATGCATAAAAAGATTATCGACTGTTGGGGAAACTGGTGAACCCATACCATACAAAAATTTCTTTTTTGCTCATAATTCTGTTTAATTTACTTCAACAACATCTTTTTCCAATGGTTCTCTAACTAATGTCAGCTCATGATGAAAATCCTGTAACCAATCAAATCCCTACAAACCAATACTTGAATATCAATGAGATGCTCACTAGTGACTTGCCTCATTCAGGTAGGTAGTTACCTGGGGTTCTGGTGAGAAGTCGTGACCAGTAGGGTTCAGCAGGTCGGGTGTGAGGACAAATACTCGCCGAAGACATTGGCTAGGGGTCGCTATGGCTATGTCGTGAATTGGCAGAAGTTAGAATTCATGGGCTGGCCATTGGATCGGGTCCCAGTGGCTTAATGGTATACGAGCTCGCCTTGTAACCAGATGGTCCTGGGTTCGAATCCCAGCGGGTGCGTACTGATGAAGAGTCCCAAACTAGGACGAAACAGCTTTCCAGTACTCCCAGGTTTTCCAATGGTTCTCTAACTAATGTCAGCTCATGATGAAAATCCTGTAACCAATCAAATCCCTACAAACCAACACTTGAATATCCTTCAATCTACTTTTTCTGGGTTGAAAACCCCTAGAATACTGTCTTTGATCTGAGCAACGAAGTAACCAGTATCATAAGCTTGCAGAAATGAAATAAATTTCATGAACTATATAAATGTATTTTATTGTGATTATCCTCCCACCCAGTCGTCTTATAATGATTTTTGTTTGTAATCTTATATTTTTATAGTTGAACTTGCCTTAATTATGGATCGTTTATACGGTGGTGTCTGTTATGCTGGTATAGACACTGATCCAGAATTGAAATATCCTAAAGGTGCTGGTCGTGTAGCATTCTCAAATCAACAAAGTTATATTGCTGCAATCAGTGCACGATTTGTTCAATTACAGCATAATGAAATTGATAAACGCGTAAGTTTTTTTCATTATAAAATTTAGTCTTTCGATTATTAATTATTATTATTATCATTCGGATGATTTGTGCACTGAGAAATCATTGCCAAAAATCAAGTGACATTGAGTTTTATTTTGTTTTTCACAAAAATCTGGCCAACTCTGATTGATTTGACTTGATCTTTGTGATTATTTCATTGTTAATATTGTTGTTAATATTATTGTAAGTGTGGTACTTATAAGTGGGATAACACTAGAGAAAATGCGATTATGCACTAATTGTTCAGTGAAAGTTTCAACAAAACCCAACTATCTGTTTCTTTTATTCCCCATAAATGACGTGCCACAGCCGATAGTTGGCGCAGACTGCTGTATTCCTATGGAAATGCCTTCATGTAACCACGCATTCATAGCCTCAGCCAAAATAAGTCATATTGATGGGTATTGCTCACAGAACGGAAAGAGCGAAGGTGAGAATCTCACGCTTACAAAGCCGGACTGGTGGTCAGACATGCTGGTCTGCCTAACGGAACTGGAAAACCTTGACTCCAAATCTATGGTGTACATTTAGCTGCAGAATCCCACCAGATCGAATGGCGTATGAACCTGTTTGGAACACCGAAAACCATAGGAATACAGCTCTTGACACTTTTCCACTCCCTTGTAGACCAAACTTCAAGTCATAGGCTCTTCGGGTGGTCCCTTTAGACAACTACTTACTTCGACCTGGATGACCGGACGGGATCCCAACCCTCACTCATACTAATGAGATTTTGTGTGACGCATTTGTGTTGGTGTCCATAATGTACCGAGTTTGTGTTTTAGCGATAGAATATTTCATTGAGAGATATACATAAAGGTTGTTATCACTACGCATATATAGAGAGAGACTAGGCATATTCAGTATTCATTCAAGGTTTGTCTAAATCTAACAACAACAAAAAAGCTCTCTACAGCTATTCAAGTTTTGCTTGGTCTCTGTGTAATTTCACTGGTTTATAAAGCTAATGTTAACTTATACACTAGTCAAATATGAGCTAGATACAAGAAATTTTATTGATTTAATTTTTATAAATAGCGCTATAGTAATAAAATAATAACAATCACTGATTAACAATGATTCATTCACACTACCACTATCATCTTAGACATAATAACAAGTATGTAGTAGTAGTAGTAGTAGTAATTAGTATGCTGGGGAAAGATTTTCTGCATTGGATTTTAATGACCAATAAAATAAACTATTTTTCCTATAAACTAAAATTATCCTCCTCTATCTGACCGTTCTTATTGATTAGACAGATATTTTTGGTCGTGTTTCATCTTCCCTTCATCCCCTGCCTAACCAATCCAATTGGTTTGTTATTTACAGAATACAAAAATATATGCGCATATATATATATATATATATATATATATATATATATAGTATTATATTATATTACTCTTGCATGCGCGTAGGTGTTTTTCCAGAATCTAGACCTAGCCCTACTTTCTTTTCATTTTTTTTTTATCGTTTTGCTATAAATATGTTTTTTCAAGTATTTAACTTGTAATAATAAGGAGAATTTTGTATTGATTGTGTGTGTGTGTGTGTTTACAGTTGACCTACGTAAAAAAAACGCATTATGTAGTTTTTAACTTTTCCACTTGGAATAGTATTTATCTCTTATATTGTGTGTATTGCCTCAACTAACTGTGATTAGTAGATTTATGTGTTAGGATGATATACGCATATTATTATTTATTGCTATTAAGAAACAAACTTGATACAACATTATGGGGAACAAGAGATGCACCACACAAAATCTAATGGTTTTGTGCGTGGGTTGAGATACTCGCCGCGATACGCCTAGATGGAAGCAAGTGGTCGATATAAGAGGTTATCCACACCCGCAAGCCGTTGACTTGAAGTCTGTTTCACAAGGGAATGGGGAGAAGCGTCAGGAGCTACGACGTTCCTATGATTGCCAGTCTCCAAAACAGGTTCATATGCTATTTAATCCAGTAGGATTCTGGAGCCCGTATATAACATTGATTTGGAATCGGGTTTTTCCAGATTCGTTAGTTAGACCAACGTGTCCACCAATTTGGTTATTAAGTATAAGACCTTCGTATTCGCTTTTTCGCTATGGGGGAGGGGGAATACCCGCCATGTTAAGGCAGTGAATGTAACTTACCTTGTATAACGGGATGCACGTATGGCTACATGAGAGCATTTGGAGAGAAAGACCACAGTCTACCCACTCTCGGCCGCAGCATATGATTTAAGGGGGTAGTTGTACACACTGACCGTGATAATGTTCTCCTTACCTATGGGATCATAATGTACCCAAGGACACCTAGTAAATATGTCAGTGTGACTAGCTCCTTTGTAGATTCTCATCTGTTTTTAGTATGAGGGAACCATGTTTGTCGAGCATAACCTTGATTTTTATTTTATTGTCAGTTCCACCATTAAGTTACTAGTTTGTTTCGCTTTTTTCCATTTATGTCAGTTGTGTTAACTTAGACAAGATTCGAAGGCTCTATTATTACTATTATTATTATTATTTATAGTAGTAGAAGTAGTAGGAGTAGTAGTAGTATCGCTCCTCCAGATTTTCATCGAGTGGTTTGATGCTGAACAGTAGGTCAAAATCATTTAACCTACTGTTCCTTTTTTTGTATTCGTTTATTGTATTGTAAATAATAAGTCATAAATTCATTCAGAGAACCATTGAAAACCAGGGAGTACTGGACAGCTGTTTCATCCTAGTTTTGGGAATCATCATCAGTACTCACCCACTGGGATTCGAACCCAGGACCTTCCGGTTGCAAGGCAAGCTCGTATACCATTCAGCCACTGGGACCCTATTCAATGGCTCATGAATTCTAACTCCTTCTACCAATTCGTGATTTAGCGCGACCCCAACCATTGTCGTTGGTGGGACGTCCACCCACACACGTGACATCTAATTGTACCTCACTGGTCACGACTTCTCACTAGAATTTCAGGAAACTCCATCCTATAGCAAGTCACTAGCGAGCATCAGATTAATTTTCTATAGTTTGGTTTGTAAGGTTTAGTGGGTGCGTACTGCCGATAATTCCCAAACTAGGATGAAACAGCAGCTGTCCAGTACTCCCTGGTTTTCAGTGGTTCTCTAACTGACATAAACCCGTGATCAACTCGTAGAAACATAACTAACCCTTACAAACCAAACTATAGATTATTAATTCACCTTTCATAATAATCTAACTGACCGCCTATTTCTTGTGGCGTATTTTGGTGATATATATATTTAAGCAATTGTCTACAACTATCTGACATCATTCATTTCTCTATCATTTCAGTTTGTTTTCTTCTCCTGTCCATCAGAGCTAACCAGGATGTGCGCGGATATATTCACCGTCTGTACATAAAGTACTATCATTGTTCCTTATGGGGATTGTAGTTAATTAGGCAATTGTCTTACCTTTATCAATGCATCTGGATTGGAATGCATCTTTGCGGTAGATAAAAGTTAATCATTGTACAACGAAGAAGTCCTTCACTAATGCCTTGAATATTCCTTAGAATTATACCAAAAGAGTGTATTGAAAGAGAAGAAGAAGAATAGAAAATATCAATTATGTGTCTAAGTGTGATTTCAGTATTCTAAGAATTCAAAACATCATAGGCACCCATAAAATGAACACATTCATTCGGTTAAACTGATGATACTTAGCAAAATAGTCATGTGACGTAGATAAACTAAAGATGACAAAAGGCACCAGAAATATTTGATAATTAAGCATTTGTACAGAGTTTTCAAAGACATTTTTTTGTCTTCAAACAAGTGCTTTAAACGAAGTCTATTTTTGGTTTGTATATATACATGATTGTCAAAAATCCATTATAGTAACTAACGTTTAAATTGTATATCATATTTGATTTTTAGGTTGAAGTTAAACCATATGTTTTGGATAATCAAATGTGTGATGAATGCCAGGGTACTCGTTGTGGTGGCAAATTTGCTCCATTCTTTTGTGCCAATGTAACTTGCCTTCAATACTATTGTGAACAATGCTGGGTACAAATACACAGTCGTTATGGTCGTGAATATCATAAACCTCTAGTCAAAGAAGGCGCTGAGCGTCCTCGTCCTGCACTTTATCGGTGGTAGGCGGCGCTTATATCGCGCATGCTGTAATGGTCTCCTCCACCACATATATATATTCATTGGATTTCTTGTTCTAATCACTTTGCCAATCGATACTTTCCTTACTCTCTGTTTGTTGTTTTTTTTTTAAGTATTTTTTTCTAGATTTTTTTTGCCGGTTAAGGAATAGATTTTCTATGTTTACCTGTCCTCATCTCCATTCATAAGGTTTCTATTTTCAATGGAGACTGCATAGTTGGGATATTATGATTATGTCTGTTTGTAAGCCTAAGTCTCTGTTGTTTCCCTTTCCGCCCCCCACTCATACCTAAGCCCTTAAGGTGTACATCAGTCTGCTTTGTTGCCATTTCCTAGTCTGTGATTTATCATTTATATAAATGCTGATTATTTAAATCCATATATAATATCACATTTATGTATCCATCAAAGTACACATATGGAAGAAAATTAACACTGCACACCTTATTTAATATCAATACTAATATTACCACCACAACCACCATTACTATTACTAGTAAAACTACTAGCTACACAAATCAATTTAGTTTTCTCCTTTCTAATATTATTTATACTACTACTACTACTACTACTTACACTTTCTATCAGTTTGTAATTAGCTTGAAGTGCTTGTGTGTGTGTCTGTTCTTCCCTATCCTTGTTTTCCCCTTTTTTTATTATCCCTTCTCCTCTCCTACCTACCAACTTTTGTTTATTGATTTCCTTTAAAAATTACAAAACAAAACAAAACAAACATGTAAAAGTCGTTGTTTGTTTTAACTGTGATCAAAACGTGTTTTTAGTTACTTTCCTCTTTGTCTATCTATCTATTTATCTATACACATATATATCATCACAATCATTTGGTCTGCTTTTGGTTAGAGCACACTATTGTTGTTATTATTATTATTGTACTAATTTTACAAGTATTTTTCTCTCATTTATTTGCTTCTATCTGTTTACTTTTCCAATTTCTTTTTTTAAAAATTTCCCCTCTTTTTTCCCTCCAAACTTTTATCATTTCTGATTCGAATGCGTTTCCCTCTTCTTCTGTTGTTAGTCGTCAGCTGGAAAGTGTGTGGGTGTGGGTGCCAGTGCGTGTCTTAGGTCATACCTGTGCTGTGTGTGTGTGCGTGTAGCACTGTCTTGATCTCGGCGAGGAGGAGAGTTGATTATGACTATTTTAGTAGTAGTAATAGTAGTAGTGCTAGCAGTATATTAACAGTGATATTTATACTTATATTGATACCACTGTTAATGCTTCTCTCTCTCACATGTTGTGTGTTTTTTCCCTTTTTTTGGTTTCTTTTTTGTATGCTTTATCAAAGTGTGAATTTTGGATTAATTTTTATAAAAAATAACACAAAATCAATCAATCAATCATTTATTTATTTATATGCCTATTTTGCATAGTTCATATCTTTTTTGGTTTTGCTAATATTATAATTAATCGATAGTAGTGTACTGTGTTACCTGTAGTATGTATCTCTCTGGTGTATTTCTTCTTTCTTTGAGTAGAAGACGAAGAAGAGGAAGGGTGTTATCCGCCAGCCTATGCCCCCAAGTACCATCATCAGCTTTTCATAGCTTTTCATACCATACCAAAGATAGATAAATATCACATCTAGTTTATTCGATCATTTTAATATAGCATAAATACACACACATATGTATGTGCGTGTGTGCGTCTTTTTATATATATACACACATACATATATACGTATCTATTTGTTATAGTGTAGAGAAATATCATTGTAATAGTTTAGCCAAACAAGGTTCGATGTCTCCCTTTTTGGTTCTTTTTCTAAACTAACTAAACAAATGTTCATGCAATAGTACATTCAGTCATCATATTCCATGTGTTGACAGTTTTATTATTATAACAAAGAAAGCAGTGAACACATACACACACACCCAAAAGAACTTTACACAGTAATTATTGATCTGATTGATATTCTCTCTTCCTCCACCTCCTCCTCCTCCCCCCCATCTTCTCTCTCGTTACCAGTTCATTTTCTGGTTTTGTTCCGCTTTTCGTATATCATTAAAAAAAATTAAAAAAATAAAAATTGATAACAGTTTAGAAAGAAAAATTAATATTTTTCGTCTATTGATGACGACAGTGATGATGATTTGATTGATGGCACAGAGGCTTGTGGAAAAAATACGATCACCTCTCTCTCTTTCCTTTTTATTACTGTTATCATTATTATTATTTTTATAATGTTATTTTGGTTTTGTCAATACATGTATATATATGTATACAAACATGCATATATTCTCTCCATCTTTTATTATTGTTATTCTTTTTACCAACGTGCGTGCATCACATTGTTTTTCTCGTAAAAATAAGACGAAAAAAATGCTAATAAATATATATTTTCTTATGTTATTGCTAATTATTATTATTATTGATATTATTACCATTTCTACTAGTACTACTACTACTACTACTACTACTACTACTACTACTACTTCTACTACCATAACTACTGTTACTAAACATTCACTTTCTCCCTCATACACACACTATTTCTGACTTATTCGTTCACAATAAGTTACGTAATACGTGTGTGTATATGCTGCATTCACAACTCTTGTAGGCTATCATTCATACACAAATTATTTTTGTTATCTTTTCCCTTACTACTTACTTATTATGAAACACTTTTTCCCTCTCTCTCACTCTCTGTGTGGTTTCCGCTTAATCTCGATTCATCAATGACATCAACACATGTGGATCATATGCACATGCGTGCGTGCATGCATGCATGTGTATGCACAATACACTTTTTTATGATACACAAAACATGGTTCTTCTTTTTTCTCTCTCTATCTCCCTCTTTCATTTTGTACGTGATTATTTCAAATTAAAAAAAAAATGCATTTCGATTTCTTTTTTTTGTTTGAGGGCTATTTTGTTTGTTTACATTTTGTAAAAGAGAATTATCATTATTATTATTATTTATATTAATAAGGTTGAGAAGAGGATTTAATGTGTTACTGTTATTGGTGTTGCTGTTGCTGTTGTTATTTGTTGTTGTTTATATACATACCATCAACTTTCATTCACATTCACTTTTCTGTATTCAATTTTGGTTTCATTGAATATAAATTTAAATCCGTATACATTTATATATACTTATTTCTTATGTTATATATATGAATATATTCTGCCTTTGTCAATTCTTAGATTCATACTTTCCCTACTACTACTAGTAGTACTTCTACTTGAATTGTTTCTAAAAGGAGAACTGTTATAGTTTTGTTTTATTGTTTTCTATAAACAATTGACAATATGACAATTACATAACAGGATTCTTTTGTTTTTTTGATTGTTACTTTACTGTATGAGCGCTTTTTTAAAATTTATTTACTGTGTGAGTGTGTGTTTGTGTGTTTATTATTACGCTGGCTCGTGATGGATGTTTTACTTTTTATTCTATTTTGCCTATATGTAAGTTTGTCTGGAATGTAATAATTAATAATAATAATAATGAGATAATATTCTGTGATGATTCGCTTCTCTTTCGTATTTGTGTTTTTCCACGCACAAGTCATGCACAAGTTATTCAGGTTTTTTTTTGCTGCCTATTTTGTTTGTGTGAAAGATGGATGGATGGATGGATTGATTGTTTGTGTTTCATTGGTGAAAGATGAGGAGAAAAAAAATAATAAGGTGTTGTTTATTTATTTATTTATAATAATTTTGGCTTTTTAATCATCAACTCTTTCTGTCCTCTGCTCAAGCGCATACGCAACACACAGTTTGTTCTAAAAGAATGAAGAAAATAATAATAACAATAATAATAATAAAGGGATTCAAATGTATGAAGCTACTTACTTTTAATGAACATTCTGTGTGTGTCTTTGTATGTGTTTCTCGTGATCTCGGTACCTTTTTTTTATTTGATGTATTTTGTTCTAATCGTCCTCTCTTCCCCTTTGTGTTTTTCTAAATCATTTTTATTAAAAAAGAAAAAAAGAAAGGAAAAAAGATGAACACTTCTCATTCAGTATATATATCAAAACTACCTAAAGTCCATAAACGGCTGTTTTTCTCTCTCTCTCTCTCTTTCTTCTAAAATTGTAGCTTTTTATTTATTCTCTCTCTCTCCTATAGTGCTTCCTATTTCACCTCAAAAAATGCAAACAAATAAAGCATCTGTTAAGCTGTATGTTATTATTATTATTATTATCATTATTGTTTATCACAGTGTTTTTAAAGGCTTATTTACATTTAACAGCATATAAATAAATAATAAACAAAAACATCATTTAGGCTTGTAGATTTTTCATTGATACTTTTGGTTTTCTACACTTTTCTAATTGATATTATTATTACTACTGTTAAGATATACGCTCTGTTTCTACTTTCAGTTTTTATTTTTGTTGTTGTGGTTGTTGTTTTTTTAAAATTACTTTTCTTGAATTCAAATGGAATATTCGATGGGAGGAGGGGATGCTAGTAGTGTGTGTGTGTATGTATGTGTTAGTGGGATTTTGACTATCTCGTTACAGCTGATTCCAGATTGATTGATTGGTTGATTAGTTGATGACAACAATCCTGTCAGTTGTATCTTTGATGATTATCATTCTTCTTATTATTATTGCTGAAGATTTTGTTGCTTATTCAAGCCTCTATGGTTATTTACATTTCCTACCCGACCCACTCCCACCGCCAACTATTTCCACAATTAGAATAAAACAGAGGGGGAAACAAAAGTGTTGTTGATTGGAAACAATTTGCTCTATATGTGAATGGGTTGTTGTTATTGTTGTTGAATGCCAAATATTTTCCTAGTGTGTGTGATTTACTCTACGCTTTTTGTTATAATATTATTATAAAATTAACAATATTGATATTATCTTTTTTAATGTATGTATTAAGTAACATAACATAACATAGTCAGTTATAGGTAAGCTGACTGTAGCACACTAAAAAAGGTGATAATAATTGTACTTTAAAAAGCACTGATGACACACAGGCGCGCGCGCACACACACACATACAGCAAAACACCAAAAAAAAAGACAAAACAAAGAAAAGCGAATCCTGAATCACTTTTTTTTGATAGTGGTTATCTCATTTTATTTATTTCACTCACCCACCCACCCGCCTGTCCACTTCTAGTTTTCCTCTATTTGTTTCCTCTCCCTTATGTGCACATGCGCTAAGACGCTTATGCGTGTTGTTATTCAGTGTTGCATACATTTTCTTCACACACATATTTTGTATCTTTGGTAGTGTTCTATTTTCTTTTTTCCAGTCTACACTACAAGATGTGTGTATCATTTTATAATCCTTTCAACATGTGTGTTTATTATTTAGTTTATCAACATTTCGGTTGGATTTTTCTTTCCTATTAATTATTATTATTACTATTGTTACTATTACTTATTTATTCATTTCTATAGTTTGAAAAGAAATTTTAAAAAAACGTTTTTTAAAAAAAATCCTATTTATTATAAAGTATTCCTCTATATATAACAGTCGTCTGATGAGTAGTCTGCCTCATTCTCAGTTGTTGTTGTTGTTGCTGCCGATGTTCTTCTTCTCTTCTATTTTTTACTCTTGTTTTCTTTTATAGTTTCCGTTTTGTTTTTACAACAAACAGTTCAGTTATGTGTGATTGATTCAATATACGAATCTCTCTCTCTCTCTGTCCGTAGACGACGACGAGGACGACAATGACAGCTGTTCACATGTATGTGTTTGTTACACCCCACATAAAAAAGAATGTGTCAGATTAATTGATTGATTGATTGATATCCTTAGCATTTGTGTTTTTTTTCTAATGATTTCCATTTTATATTTATTATTACAATATACATACATACATACCTGTGTTTAGGTTGCAGAAGACCAGTTGAATATATATATTTATTTATAAATTATCTAATATTAATTAATAAAAAATTAATAATTACATTTATCCTTATTTTTTACTAATGTATTTTTTTGTTTGTTTGTTTGTGTTATTCCCCTACCAATCGCCCCGGCCACCTGCCCTCAGCCTATCTACTACTCTACTTTACAGTTTATCACCTTTTCTACTTTTGATGATATTACAAAGTGTGTTTTTCTATCTATAATCCACACTTTATTTATTTATTTATTGGTTTATTTATATTAATATTATTTATTGATCGATTGAATCAGTCTATCAAGTTTCTCGTTTTCTCAAATGTGCAATAGCCACTTTTTTTGCGTTTGGTTATTTTTTTGTGTTTGTTTGGTTTATTACGTAACATATTTTATTTTTAGCTGTCACTGCCTATTTATCAATATTACTATTATTATTACTATCAATACTATCGCATGTGAAGTTTTTTTGGTTTTTCTACGGACTTTTCATCTGGTTTAGCCACACACACACACACACACACACACACACACAGTCACCAATACTCAGCTATTTTTATATCGGTTGATTTACTATAAACACATATACACATATACGTATGCATATATTATAACTTACATATTTTTGTGTACTACTACTAATGTGAGTAATACTAATAATAGTATTTATATTACCATTACTATTATTATTACCATTATAATACACACTGTCTCCCGTTTAAAGTTTCTAGGTTGTATTCATAACTCTTTTAAAATTTTACCTCCTATTCACTTCCTTCCTTCTTTCCTCCAAATTTCTTTCTGCCTTTAGTTTTGAATTTTACACCCGTCTTCGATTGTTTGTTTATTTATTGTGTTGTATCTACTATTCGTGTGTTGATGTTGTTCTAGCTGCTGTCGTCGTTGTTGGCAATCTTCAAATATTCTTGTTCTGTTTTTCCTCGATATAAGAAAGTCTGTCCTTCTAGATCTTTCCTTGCTTCGTTGGCGTAATGTCTGCCCACTACTGCTACTACTACTACTATACTAATATTACTCTAGTGGTGCTTGTTGTAGTACCTATCATACATTACATATATTGATAGTAACTCTGACTTATTTATTGTTATTATTCACCCGGTTGAATGGGTTTTCTTCTAATCTATCTATCTATTCCCAGACAACAGTGTTATACGTGAAAACAGCATCTAATGTGTTTCGTTTTGGTTTTTTGTTATTTTTCAAAAATTCATTCTCATTATTATTATTATTCTATCGATTTTCTTTTTATAGTTTGATGATTGTTTATTTTTCTTTTCAATTTGATAAATTTTTTCTTTTGTTGTTGCTGGTGTGTAAAGCTTTGCCAACACGCGCTCACATTTAAACTTGTATTCATCTTTGGCTCTTTTTTCCTTTCCTCCCATCCTTCCTTCCTTCGTTTTTTTAAAAATGTTATCCTAGTTCTCACTATTTCATTATTATTATCACTATTATTACTATTGTCAAGTATTGAAGTGGACTTTTAAATAATAATATTAATAATAAAGAAAAAAATATATTTGGTAAAATTATTTTTATTTTTTATTATATTATACAAGTAGATTGTTGTATTAATATTTAATATGGTGAGATGTGTTATTCTCTTGCCATAATTCAATAAAACAAAAAAAATATAAGTATATATGCATACATATTTACCCTGTTTATTAATATATATAATATATAAATAGGGAGTGAAGTGGTAGAGCGTGTTGTTAACCACCTCAATTATTTGGGGAGTTGCATCAGCCAGTGCCAGTGGGTTGATCACTGATGACATCTTATCATGGATATACAGAAGGCTCGTTTGGCATTTGTCAATCAATTTTGCTATCTCTGGCTTAGTAGAGTAGACGTGATATCCGGCTGGCTAGCAACTGAAGAGCGTATGCACTGCTCAGCAGTTCGCTCTGTTCTCCTCTATGGTTGGGTGTGAGCGATGCATGGCTATTGAAAGGGAAAGATATGATCATAGGCGTCTGTGTTCTATCTCTCGTGTTAAATAGTACCATGGTGAACAATGTCGAAGTTATGCGTCCAGTGTTAGGAGATGTGTTGCTAATAATAATAATACAAGATAAATAGTTATAGAAATTGAATAAATGAATGAATATATTTGCGGTTATTGGTGATGAGGGGAGTTGCCAGCCCTTCTTTTCTGGGATTAGGACAAGCTAGTTTATTAGGCTAACTTAGTTTTCCGAAGTTACAATAATAATTCTCATTTTATTCGTCTAATGAACTTCAACTAGGTATACTTAGGTAACTTAGCCAACTTAAAAAAAACAACAACAATATGGAGATTTATGTTATCTTGTTTTCATATCACCTCTTCTGCCAGACACATTCTTTTAGTCTAGTTACAATTTTTAAATGTAGTTTTGCGTTAAAGTAAACACCGTATCATGTGTTCTAGTTATTTTCATTTGATGAAAGTCGATAATCATCCCATCACATGATACGGTTTTCATCCTAGCCTTATAACCTGTATATTGTTTGTACACTGTGGTTAGAGCAGTTACTAGTATAATGATAAGATGATGTGTAGGTAATTCATTATCAGAAGTCTATTCATACCCTTTATTTGACTTGACTACGGTAGAATGTGCTACATTTAGTGATGAGTCAGTGTTTTTGAACTATTGTTAATGCTGACATTAGATGACGGGAGGCGGGTGTGTGTGTGTGTGGCTGGTTAAAAGTTAATGAGAAGAATAAATTTGATCTACAATTTGATTTGTAGCACATTCTAATTTATATCTCTGATCTATAATGCTACTGGTGACATCAAATATATACCAAGTTGTTTTTTTATAATTGGAGGATTTCATCATGAGCTGACATCAGTTAGAGAACCACTGGAAAACCTGGGAGCACTGGACAGCTGTTTCGTCCTAGTTTGGGACTCTTCATCAGTACGCACCCACCGGGATTCGAACCCAGGACCTTCTGGTCACAAGGTGAGCTCGTAGACCATTGAGCCACTGCGACCCGATCCAATGGTCCTTGAATTCTAACTTCTGCCAATTCACGACATAGCGCGACCATTTCGCAATGTCTTCTTAGATGAGTTACTGTCACATATTCAACCTGCTGTACCCTACTGGTCACGGTTTCCCACTAGAACCCCAGGTTAACTGCCTGAATAGGGCCAGTCACCAGTGAGCATCAGATTAATTTTCAACTGATGTCAGCTCATAATGAAATCCTCCAATTATAATTAAACAAAATCCCTACCAAACCAATACTTGAAAATCAAGTTGTTTTTGTTAATTTTGTTCAATACTGACAGCAAATAACACCACCTTGCTAAGTTATTCAAAAGACGGGATTATGAGTAAACCAGTACTCAGACACATTTATTCTCATGTGTTTCATTAACCTGACAATATACCGTTTAATTTCAGTGGAGAGGGCTCGACTGACACATTTAAGCCCCTAAATAGAGTTTACTAGCAGCTTGTAGGAAGCTTAAAATAATGGTTGGACTGAGCGTGAGACAGGCTAGCAACACCACCCCACGTTAGAACAACAGCACCGTCACTGAAACTTTAAAAGACTGAAGTCATATTGTGGTGAGAAAAGGCTGCTAGTCAAAGTTGATAGACAGTAATTTACTTCAATGTTTATGTCCCCAATATTGGTTGGTCGTGAGAAAAATGAGAACAAAGACTTTGCGTAGGCGGATACAGTTAGCATATAGATGATGATCTGACATTCAAGAAACAGCCACAAAGAGATGAAAGATTAACTTTCAGTGAGAAACAACCAATCAGAAGACCGTGTTTTCTGCTAACAATTATCTATAATAATGTACATGAAAATATATAAATAAATGTGTTGATTTCCTTAATTAACGATCTGTTGCCTGGCCCTTGTCTTCTGTTGTGACAATATGTCTCTTTCGGAAGGCAAAGGAATGAGAAAATTCTCTTGTATGTAGTAGACTAAATAGTTGTATTGCTTTGATATAACAGAAAGTTGTGAATTATTGATGAAACAGCCTTGAGTTTTAGATTTATTGTGTTATCTGTGAAACTAGACAACAGAATGAAACGGTAATGCTGTGGTGGTCGGATGCGATGTCCCATCAAGATTAGAGAGTATTTTAGTTCATCGCTTTAAGGAGAAACATCACTATAATATGCAATCCTATTAAAAAGAAATTGATTGTAAAGGCATCTTATCACTTGACATTTGAGTAAGTCCATCCATCATCTAGCCTGGTTGACAAATCATTTGAGCACATTTACTAAATATGATTCAATGAACAATCAAAGTTCAGTAACATGATATTTTTTTACTTTGAATGAATTGATCGAATTACAAGCTGGTGTAATTTGAAATTAATAAATTGAAATTTTAGATTAATCGATAAATTATTACTATTATGTTTATACGAGTTGATCACGGGTTGATATCAGTTAGAGAACCATTGAAAACCAGGGGGTACTGGACAGTTGTTGTTTCATCCTAGTTTTGGGAATCATCGGCAGTACGCACCCACCAACAGGGTTCAAATCCAGGACCTTCCGGTTACAAGGCAAGCTTGTATACCATTCAGCCACTGGCTCATGAATTTTAACTTCTACCAATTCGTGATTTAGCGCGACCCCAACCATTGTTGTTGGTCGGACATCCATCCACACACGTATACGACCTTGCCTTGTAACTGGAAGGTCCTGGGTTCGAACCCTGTCGGTGGGTGCATACTGCCGATGATTCCCAAGCTAGGATGAAACAGCAGCTGTCCAGTACTCCCTGGTTTTCAATGGTTCTCTAACTGATATGAATCCGTGATCAACTCGTAAAAACATAACTAACCCTTACAAACCAAACTATAGAATATTACTATTATTTAAGAGTTGAAGTACCAACTATTTCCAACACACCACAAGTCCCTTTTACTATAATCAAGTTATTGCAAGTAGTAATAAATAAACTCACTTAATAAAAGTTCTATATTAATCATACTTAGGCAAAACGATATATGTTAATAACAATACTAGTTACTTTGATTATTATTGGCTATCAGTGTAATGCAGAATGCGAGTTTTGTCCTATCCGAGACTCGTCAACTTGCTGTACCCGCATCTCAACTGAATGATGGACTGACTGAGTTTCAACATGGAACTTTGCACAGAAATGCAGTATTTCAGGACACTACACACCATGTAGCACTCAAATGTAGAAAAAAGGACTATAAAAAGCAGAAATGTAGAGAAGAATTACATTGAAAAACATGACGGTTTGGTTGAAATGGGAGATTACAAAAGGTAAACGCACCTGTGCCATTGAAAACGAATTTTGAGTCATATCGCCAATGGTCTCCAGTTATTGATCCTTAGCATCTCAAGGACACTTACCAGGCAGTCTGCACCTGCCTAATTGGCTCAAATCAACCATCAAAGACTTCATGGACTGACTGAAGATTTTCGTTTGACTACGCCTAACTCTTTTCCAACCTGCACTAATGCTGGCTAACATTATCCGCCGAGGAAGGCAATGCTCCAGCATTGTGCAACACGTATGCTAACCATCTCATTCGATTCACCTTCACAACTTCATCGATTGCCTTACCCTTCTACGCCTACCCTCAATATTACTCACTATCATTATGGGAAATAGAACGAATTGAGTTATGATTTCTCCACTGTGACTCGAACCTAGACATCAGGAAAGAGTATGTACTAGGAGCCAATATACTGGCAAAGAACGAATATTACACCCAATCATATCAATCGGTAATTAAGTATTATTATTGTAGTATTTGCCGATGATATATGTCTGATTTCCCACAAACTGGAAGATATGCAAGCGAAAAGCAACAAGTTGGCAGAAGAAGCATCAAAGATAGGACATTTCAGGTGAACATAGAGAAAACAGAGGTGATGAAGATTCCTGGGCAACACCACCAACAGCAACAACAACAATCAGCATAAATGGGAGGAACCTGAAAGAAACAACCTCCTTACCCACCTACCTGGGAAGCATCGTTTCAACTACAGGCGGAACTGACGAGGATATCAAAGCAAGAATCGGAAAAGCAAGACAAGCTTTCACTACTCTCAAGTCTGTGTGGAGGTCAACAGCACTCAGCATCAAAAATAAGATCCGGATTTTCAACTCCAATGTGAAGTCAGTGCTACTCACTGTACGGATCAGAGACTCTGCGCGTCATAAAGAGCATCTCAAACAAACTACAGACCTTCATTAACAGTTATCTTCGCTCAATACTATAAGATAAGATGGCCAGAAAAGATCAGCACTAGAGAGCTCTGGGAGCAAACCAACCCAGCAGGAACCGATTGTGAAAGAAATAGGCAGGAAGAAATGGAGAAGCATTGGCCATACTCTGAGGAAACCATCAAGTGACATCACTAGACAAGCCATTGCTCGAGTGGAACCCGAAAGGGAAGTGGTGAGTTGGTCGTCAGTGCAAGGGTGACTTGTAGGAGGTCATGTGAAGAGGAGATGAAAGCGTGTGGGCAGACTTGGAGCCAGGTGAAGACTCTAACAGAGAACCGAACGCAATGGAGACGCACGGCTGAAGCCCTATGTTCCTCTAGGAATTAAAGGAAACAATAATAATATATAATAATTTTAGTATTAGTATAT